AGGGTTGAAGTACTTATTTATCTTGTTATGTTTATGTGGTAATCATTTATTAGAATATTGCAGTTGTACACCAATACTTATCCAAATTCCAAAATACCATTGTTTCCATTTGTTCAACAGATCACGTCATATAAAATAGATACACGTATGTTCTACGTGATTACTCATACTTAACAGTTTTTAGGAACCTACTTGGCACAAGATAAATACGATTTTAGTAATTATAATAACATATAATTATAATTGAATACCAAAATTACATCGAATTAAAATCATTTTTTAATTTAAAAGTCATACGGCGATTCAACAATATATAATTATGCGGGTGTTACACGAGAAAAGAATGTGTAAAATAAAAATAATTTATATTATTGTTAATCATAATTATTTCATTCTATCCGTAATAATACAATAAGATGTTTAATATTGACTGACTAATCTGCCGAATCTACTAAGATAGTGTAGCAATTTAAAGTTGTTTTTTATCGATTAAAAAAAATTACTAAGATATTAATTACATACAATAATAGTGATGGCTCTATATTATCAGTAAAAATATTAATTATTGTTATTCACTTATAATATTTTATAGCGACGTTTCAACGATTTGGCTCATTTCCGTTATTGGCCCGAGGGATCGAGGTCCCCACTACACGTCTACACTCAACCCTATTTGCATTTAGTGCAAAAACGAACGATACGTCTAAAGGTGTTCATACTTTACCAGGTGCAATATATTTAAACTAGCTGACGGTGGACATGTTTTATTTATTACACGTTAGAATGCGTATAAACTTGAGTGCTCGGCAAAGTTCAGAGAGATAAATAATTGTCATGTGGTGTAGTGTGGGTACAAGTGTACAACAACTTAAAGTACTGTATTCGATATTATAGTTTTCGTGGGATTAACAACTCTCGTCGTTACTCGTACATATTTATATTTATTATTTTGTTTCGTAAATTTCACGTTCCACGATACGTAGTAATACGATGACTCAATATTTTTAAGAGTTCCTGCCTTGGCTGTTCTTGCAGTTATAATTGATGTTACATTCTTTTTTTGCCGAAATTTTAACTTAATAATGTACAAAAATAAAAACAACACACTATTGTTTTTTTCCTTTAAAATTTAATATCTCCATTGCCCGTGTCTTTATGCCATTCTCCGTTCCTCAGACATATCGGAATACCGTTATCGGAGAATTGGATCAAAGACCAATTCAAAATATTTCACTCAAGGCTCAACTCCACTGTATAAACTCTTCAGAATAAAATTGTGTGAAAAAACGAAAAACAGCCAAATAATACCACGTCTCCTTTATACGATACCATGTTGTTTCTTTTTTTAAATAGATTAATGCACATAAAATACGTTGTTAAAACATTAACATATTATGTTGTACCAATTAAATTATTATATAAAAAATGAAGTGCACGAGCCGGTGCGTGATAACGAAAAATGACTTTAAAAAAAAAAAGAAGTAATTTTCATTTTTACCTACAGTTGTATTTGCGGTGAACCAATGCAAATCGAGTTGACAACTTATAATTTACAAAATAGTAAAGTGGTGTAATACTGCAGTTGGATGTTGAATATGTCATTGTCAGAAACTCGCAACTAAATAACATTAAGTGCACTATTATATTTATGTTATGAAATTCGTTTTGCAAGTAATTTACTCTCACAAAACCGAGTAGGCATGTGTGGTGTAGTTTTATGTCGCAAAAAACAAAATAAATATCGGAACGTTTGCGTACAGAGAACAAGGATTTAAGATAAAAATTGAAAAATTTGAGGCTGGAACTCACAGGCTATGGGTATTGTTTCGTATAATGCCATTCAGGATACGTCTGCTCCTACGTACCTATAATATAAAACACGCGTTGAGTCATTGATTTGATTATACTAGCTGATACATCACGTGTCATAAAAACATAAACATATATTATTATTTTTCTATTTTGTCGTCGGTTGAACAAAAGAAATATTTTCCTCGTTTACAGACGTTGTATTTCACACGGCCTTCTGTTCTAAACGAATAATTTCAGTAGTTATTACCTAACCTGCAGCTGAATTTTATAATATTCGGTAGGTACTCTTATTATAGTATTGTTACATTACCTACTTACCATAATATGACTAGTTAAAAAATGATTTATATTAATAGAAAATGCAAGTATAAGTAGTGAGATTTTTTGGAATACTTGAGTTAACCGTACAATGCTGGTCAATTTATTCACGTTTGATGGATTTTAATTGATCGATCTTTATTAAATAATCCTTTAGTAGGTATGAAAAGTCTGTGTTCATTAAATAATACTTACTGATCATAAATATAAAATATAATAGTTTATTTTTTTAAACAATTATAAAAAAAATGTATCACACAAAACATCGCATTGGCACCGTCTATAATACATACAAAATTACAAAGTATTTTATCACAACTTAACCATAATTAATGGCTAAGTATAGTATGGAATTTAGCTGGTTTCGGGTTTATAGGCATAATTAGGGGAGACTCAGATCCCCCCCCCCAGTTTTATCAGTAGTATCCCAAAGCTTTTTGATCATATTTTAGTTAACCATATTGATTATCAGGGTTTGTACTGCTCATACAATTCTAGACCCCCACAAAAATGTCTATAGTTACGCCTAGGGTCAGGTCGTGACGTACACTACACCTTTTACAATTTATGCCCATCTTTAGGGGCGTCACAGTTTTCGGTCAAAATGTACCTTTCCCTGTTTGGCCAGTGTCACTTTTGACTTTTCATATCATAAATATTTTTTTGCTTATCTTTTTTACGTCTTTAATATTATTGTATTCAATGACTAGGCTTTGCATAGGTATTTCTTGCATAATATTTTTTTTTGTTCTAGTATGAAGATCCTCTTCAGCTTTTCTCTTACAAGCTGCATTACCTATTTGACAATCAATGAAGTTCCTTGTATATGGACCATGGTTTATGTATATTACATTTTCGCTTTCAGAGCAAATTGTATTTGTTCGATTTGTATATAATATAGCACCACACTTACGATCAATGCACTTCCGACGTGTTTTTCCGTCCAATTTTGTATTAGCTTTGTACAATTTATAATTTTCGAAAACTAATAAACACTTTCCCAGATTACTTTCAATAAATTCAGTCGTTATGAATGATTATATTATATAGTTTAATTAATTTTAGTTTTAAAAAATGTCTGTAATTAGGTACGTCTACGAGAACACTTTCATATTGAGTGTTTATTGAGTGCTTCAAACAATGTGTGTATGTGTGTGTTTGTGTCGTGTGTATAGTGTTAAATTGATAACCACGATGACACACACCTAATTGGTTATCCATAATGCCAATAATATAATATATTATTATATATTAGATAGGATGGAACGATAACGTATAGGTAAGACTTTATGCTATACTACTATACTATACTACTATACTCTATTACCTACACAGTCTATAGGATACGTCACTATAACTGATTGGGCCTCTTACATTACATTACATGAAACAACTAACTAACAAGGAATAATACTGGTTAATCTGTATTTCTAAAAAGCCAACAACGAACCAAATTAAACTTGCATTGAAGAATGAAGATTATAAAAATAGTAAAATTTGTATATTTTATTATTTTTTTCACACAGCCGTAGGTAAATAATGTTGATAAAAACACTACTGGCCGAAAAAGGAAAGGTACATTTTGGCCGAAAAGGGGGCCACCCATCTTGGGTTTGGATGGGTTTTTTTTATTCTATTTGAAATTCCATCTATTCATAATTAAATACTATTACTATTACTAACCGATATATGAATACTATATGAATAACCGATACTTATATAATCTTATTTTTATTATGTTCCAGATTATATATCAAAATAGAAATGTATTGAATGAATATTTTATTTAAGTCTGCATAATATAGTAGTTACTACTTAGGTATACAGGCACCTTTAACTATGTACACATTATCAAATATATATAAGTGAAAAACATTCATCAAAAAAATAATGAGCTGTATCCAGAAAAATAAAATATGTGTGAATTTTACCCAAATAATATAAAATGTTAATAAAGCTTCATATAATAAAAAAAAATCCTCCCGTTGATATACTTGTCAAAACTATAGTAATAATATAACTATTTTATAAACTATTATACTACTACCTATACAAAAACATATATTTTGATGTATCGTTTAAATGCAATATAGATTTTTTGCTACTTACTTTCAGTATCAGGGTTAAAATCACACTTCTGTAAATATATACATGCCTTAATGTATTATATTTCTATAGGGTTTGAATTGTTAAATAATACTTAAATATTGATGACTTATTGATAAATTAAGAAGATTAACATAGACATCGAGATCAAGGAGTATGCAACTATGCCAATATATTATTTTCTTTGTATAGGTGGTTGTATAATAGCACATACTACATATAATATGTGTATAATTATTGTACGATATCATTTTTAAAATAACCCATTTTTCTAGAAGTACAAATTCAGATCCTCTATACTCTATAGGTACATCGATTGATGTTTTGAATGTAAATAATTATCTAGCAAGCGTAAAATCGAATTTGAGCAATCAGAAACTTATATTGATACCATAGCGTAGTACAACCAATATATTAAATAGAAAATATTTTTAAAATACAATTAAAATTATAAATTCAACATAATACAAAATCTCAATAATATAAATTGATAAACGAATTTACTTTAATAGTAAATATAAATGTTTAAAAATAAATACATAATTAATTATAATATATAGTAGTTAAATAATACACAGTGATTTGGACTTAAGATAAAAATGGATGTTTATTTACATATTGTTGGATCCACAAGTAACAGGAATTCAACGTAATACACTTGAATATCAAGGACAATTTGTTAACGGATATAAAAAATGATTTGGATTATATATTAAAGTTATAGATAATAAATTATATGGTGTATTGTAAATATTTATTAGATGAAAATTTCAGAAAAATACAAACATGATTTATTATAAGCCTAATTGTATTAATAAATACGTTAGATATTTGATTACTTGAAACATTTTGAGAAATTATATGTTATATAATATAACCAACCATTAAAAATTTAAAGCGTTTACCTTATAACTAACCTAAAAATTTGAAGGAAAGTGTAATTTTTGGAAAACTACTGAAGAAACTATAACCAAAACTTGATGTACAGCCACCGCAGCCACCACAGCCACCACAGCATGGCGCCGAAGAAGCCATTTGAACATACACGAATAAAATCTAAAATTATTTAAAAAAATTAATTTATTATAAGAACATTAATAGTATAATTTTTTTTTTGATATTGAAATACAGAGGTGCTAAGCTCTTCTATAGTTCTATGTAGTTGGTTGGTAGGTGTCGAGAGTAACTCGTCATTTAGTTGGTCACTACAATGAACTACAATTTGATTCAATTTAATAATTTGATGAATCATTGCATACACTCACGGTTATCTACTCGGAGTGGAATGTAGATACGATAAATGGTTCTGAGAAAAAAAACGCTCAATCGGACTATATTTCTAAAGATATTTTAGAAAATTATATTACTGTGAGTAATTTATTTTTTTCATTAGTAATACTGCAAGTTTTTGTTTGAATCAGTTTATGTTGAAAACAAATATTCATGCCGGATGCCTATTCCTAACCAGTAGTGGACCAAATTTTGTGCCTCAAAGTCTTATTGTATATTTCATTATTGGTATCTATATTATATGGCGATTGACGATCTTACCGCATTCACTAGGCATGTCATAAGCACATCATAAGGACCATACACAACGTTGACTAATTCCGATCGTTCAGAACGACTACATAAACTAGTGATAAGTATATTGATATAATGGTCAGGAACTAAGTAATCACGACCATGTCCGCAGAAAGTAATGTGCTAATATTGTGTGAAAAGAAACTTCAAATTTTTTATTTGTTTTATTTACTGTTCTAACGTTTGAAAATTCATATTCATAACTTTTAATAATTAAATCAAACAAAAAAATATAAAAATCTGATATTCAAATATTTAACATAATCGTAGCTAAAAATAAAAATAATCGATCAAGTAAAATCTTATCAAATCTATTATCATAGTTCGGGTTCGTTATGTCGAGCTCAACCAGGCTCTTGATCAAAATGGTTTTATTTTTCAGCAACAGCCGCCACCACCACAGCAACCACAGCCACATCCACATCCACAACTACAACAGCCGCACCCGCACCCGCACCCGCATGGTGCCGACATTGATGTTTGGACGTACATCAGTAATATCTAAAACGATAAATATTTGTACATATACGAGTAACGATTTTGAACGAAGACTGTCTGTCAGCCTGTATTTTCTAAGTGATATTTTATTAAATATTTATATTCTTTATTAGTTATTTATTGTTCTATTAGTTAGTTGATTGAACTAATTTATGTCAAACACAAATATTTTTTTTGTGGGTATAATTAAAGATAACAACTCTGAGTTGACCTTAAGCTACATAAAAATATTGTACCAAAACTAAGAGTTTAGAGCAATTAATCCAAAACTAGCGTATCTAAAAACATAGGCCCAAAGGTTTAATATTGTATTTTTTAACGTATATGCTTCATCAGAGGACAAAACACAACAAGAAAAAGAAGATTTTTTGCCGAGATAGAACTACTACAAGAAGAGATAAATATTAGCAAAATAAACATTGTACTAGGAGATATGAAAGCCAAAATAGGAAAATAGACCAACTGTAGTTGGTATTCACAGTTTACACTGCATAGTAAAAATGGAACAAAAGATGTAGAGTTGGCCTTAAGTAAAGATCTAAGAGTTAAAAGTACAGTGTTCCCGCATAAGGACATACATAAATTAACGTGGATTTTGGCAGACGGTAGACACATAAATCAAATAGATCACCTTGGTTAGCTACCAAAAACATACCGGGAAAACTAACTATGACTTGGTCTAATTTCTAGTAGTAAACAACCTGAGGGTCAAGCTAAAAGGAAATGAGTAGGAAAACAGGACAAATAATTGCCAGATATGATATAGATATACAGCTCAAAGAAATGAAGAAAATGAAGAGAATTTCAATAAAATATGCAGGAAATAATACGAGAATATGGCATAAGTAGGTACTCTCAAATCCCAAAATGATAAATAACTAATGGAAAGTACGCCAAGAAGATCTGGATAAAAGTAAATAGCAATAGAAAGATGGCTAAGTGGTGCTCAAAATTTATTTTTAAAAAGAAAGAATCTTTAAAGTAAAAAAAAACTCATAAAATTTAAGATGCAAAAAAAGAAAGCGTGTACAAAATATTATAAAAGAAACAGATCTTGCAAATAGGACAAGGCGGGTAGCACATACCACAAAGTGAAAAGACTTAGAGGTGGATACAAAAGGCAAGAAAAAATTATGAAAATTGATGATGAATAATGAAGACCCAACAAGAAATAATGAAGACATGGGCAAGTATTCCAAAAAAACTTCTTTGGGAGGAATCGGTAGGTACATTAACATATGAATACATCGAACCCAAGGACGATCCCTGCTCAGCCACATCAAAGAAGGAAATTGTACAACAAATTAAAAAAACCACTAGTCACCTAAGGAAGACGAACTTCAACGAGAAATATTAAACCATTCATGATAGAGAGTACCCACTATTATTAAATAAATATGAGAAAAGAAAACTTAACTGGTGAATTCGGGAATAACATATGTATACACGATTCATAAAAAATCGGAAGCAAGTCTACATAACTATAATGGAATAGTGCTGCTAGAAACAACATATAAAAGTTTCTCATATTGCAACCTAGATAGAATCAATCCACAGGAAGGTGTAGTGCAGAGGTCTATAAACGCGGATTCAAGCACAGTAGGTCAACAAAGAACCAAATCTTTATAATCATCAAACAGTTATTTCAAAAGAGTTTCAAATACAATAATTACAAACTCCATATAATTTTTGTAGGATTTCAAAAGGCGTATGAAAGCATAGATTAAACTAGCATAAGCAAGATATTAAAACATTTTCAATTCCTAGGGGAAATGGGATATCTAATTGCATCAAGTATAAAACATACACAAGTCAAAGTCTAAGTTTGAATCGCAACATCAAGGATGGTGAAGATAAGAACCGGACTTAGGCCTAGACATCATTTATTTTTAATTTAATTTTGAAGAAAATGATCCGAGAAATTAAGTTTGGAAGAGATGAAAAAACAGTCATGGATAGAACCTGCTTCAGTTGATAGTTTGCTCTCCTGTGTGAATCGGGACGATATAGTTTTGCTAGGAGCAGAGGAACAAAAAGTGTTTAACTTATGTGGCGGCTTGAGAGAAACTGCAAACAAGGGGAGGGGGGCTACATCCCAACACAGAGAAAACACAATATATTATGAAAGATATTAGGGAACTATATTTAACTCTTTTAAATGAGACCATAACCGTGAGTCAGTACGAGTTCAAAAAAGTAAAAATGTCAAATACTTAAGCATAATAGTAACACTAAAAAATGAATGTCATAATATGGGATTTTAATAAAGAAATAAAATGGGAAATAATACATGTAAATAATGCATTAGGATAGGAGCCTACTGAGCCCCAGAACCCTCTCAAAATCACTCTCTGATCACAATGTTGGACATTAAGAAAAACAGAGGAACACAGACTGTACGTGTTCGATAAGAATTTGCTATTAAAAACATATGGACCTATTTATTATCAAGGCATGGAGGAAGAAACACAATCAATGATGGATATATTCAAAAGATTAATTATTGTGAATGAGATTAAACGCTATAAGATGAAATAGGCATTCCTCGAGTGTAGTAACAGAATTTCATGTTAAAAATTGTGCTCTAAGGAAGTTTAAAAGGCAAAGAGCCACTTGGTAAGTTGATGCCGTGTTATCAATAAAAAATTCCTAAATGTCAGAAGAGAAAATTGTGTAGACCAGACCAGGACTGAAAGGAAGAAGCAGGGAATGAAAAAGGATGGAAGAGGATTTGTAAAATGGCAGTTATGTTCTTAAAATACTAAAAAACAACTGATAAGTCAAAAAGAGTAAATAATATTATTTTGTTTTATTTATAACTTGTATCTAATTTAAAAATAGGCTAATAAAAAATAGCCATCGATGTTGAAGTCTTAACAGGTAGTACAAAATAATAATAATAATTTTTATTGAAATATTATTTCACATACCTGCCTAATATTACCTGCTATTATAGAGTTATTAAATTATAAGGTTACGCCAATGAACCGTAAAAAGGTGTGAATAAGTTAGTAGTATAAAGCTTAAAATATTAATGTAAATATGTTGAATATTGCATTGAATATAGCAAATAATAATAAACGCAAGTGTGAAGTTTCGACCCTACAAATAACGTGATTTGAATTACAACAAAATAACTGAAATCGTTATTTTTCCTTTACGTATCAAATTTCGACTAAAATGTTATACATAATCAAATAGAATTCGAAGTTCTTGATTTTTTTCGACACCATTTTAACTCCAAATTCGTTTAAAACATTTTGTCTATATATATTTTCGGTATTTTCAGCCTTGAAAAACACTAATATGGGATCTTGCATCACATTTTCAAGTATTTTTACTTTGCACAAAATTGTTTATCAACAGGTCTTATAAAAAAACTAAAACAATCCAATCATTTCAAATGCAAGACATACATGCAACTATAGTCACATAGGTGAGTTTTACTGATTCAGGTTAAAGATCATAAATCTCAAAGAAATTTTTTTCCCTACAGATTATTGTCTTTATTGATAGGTATTATTATCTGGATTGGAAAATCTTGACACCAATAAGTTATAATTGGTCAACAAACATCATAAAATTATGGATACTAAAATAAAGTATAAATTAATATGAATGTTTTCGAAAATATAAAAGTATAAAATGAAAAGTAGGTACCTAATTCAGTGATACACACTATTCTCAAATCAATTTTCGTTTATGCTAAACAGTTTAACTAGCGGAAGATAGACAGAGAAAAGAACAAACAAAATAGATAGATGACAATTTAAAGTACTGGCTCAAACGATCAAATATTAGTGTGCGATTGTTGCAGTGCAAGTGATACGACTGGTGTAACACTGTGTAATGAGCAGGAATATTAAAATCAACCGTGCATAGGTACATAATGACAAAAAATCTAATATCGATGTAAGTAGTATATGGAATATTACGCGTTCAATAATTTTTTTTTTATAACGTGAAAATTTGGAATGTATAATATTGTTCTGCGTCTCCCATTCCGTGAGATTTTTAAGTCATCGTGAATTATATTCGAAACACTAATATTCCTAATATGGTTACCGAATGGAACGGCCTACAAATCCGAAGACGCTATTGGGTCATTATCCGCACCGATAACGCCACAGCGTTTTATCGCTCCGATCGTTCATTGTCAAACACGGAACAAGACCGGCGGCGGCGTCGAGCATTAACATTTTCGATTCCTCTGGGAGACCGCATCGACTGCGAATATGCCGGCGAGGGTCTCCGACAAGCCTCCGACACTGTGCGTGACGTATGAGAATAATTCATGAGCCTTTAATTATTTTTTTCCATTAAACAAGCCATTTTATTATTATTTAATTTTTTTCACACGCCACGCACGTAGTGTTATTTGTAATAATATAATTTATAGACGATACGCGTGAGCAGCAATGACCTATGGTCGCCGGCGGATTTATTAAATGCCCACTATATACTGTTACAGTGACTATTATACCTTTCACAATTTATTTTTTTGTTTCCATTTCGTTCATTTTTTTTTTTTTTTTGGCATATTTCGTTCTTAAGATGTTTAAGAAATATTGAATCTCGAATAAAAACAATGATATGGTATCTATCCGAGGGTCTCAGATAAAGGTTCAGACTGAGATTGCAAGGCTAGGTTTCCTGCTTTTAGTTTTCGGAATGAGATTCAAGATACTCCGAGAACATTATAATTTCTCAATTGCTGTCCTTATTGAATGTTTATGGTTATATTTTAAAGGACTATAGAAAGGCTTCAACAAAAAAACTGTATGCTAAACTAATATCCTGAAGTAGAGGTGAGTGTTTAATTTGTAAAGTTATGTATTATATATAATTATATTAATTATATTTTACCATATGGGCAACAAGTCTTCCATAATCTTAATTTTGTTATTATTGTTACTAATCAATAATTATAATATTATTTTTAATACACATTTTCATCTTTTTTTTATTTTACCCATTTATGTTACCAGAAGCATATTAAGGGCCGAACCCCTTGACTCCTCTACACTTTGAAAGTGCATCTTGGTAAGACGCCCGGCAATATAACGCCCTTATAATTCCATTTACGAGATTCTATGCCTCTCTCCAATCACAAAAAAAATTTAAATTAAAATCAAACAAAACGGATTTCTAGCAGCGGCAAACGGCGACGACTCACCCACACGCACGCACACAAACAGACCAGAACACTCCCCTATATATATACTATATGTGTATGTGTGTGTATGTGTTGTTTTCGTACACTGCAGAACTTACCAGGGCCACGGCGACCAGCGTCCACTTCCGCATATTGGTGGGGCTGACGTGTCGGTCCATTATGTCACTTCCGTCGACCACGGTTACGGGCACATAAGTTTTCGATATGTGCACAAACAGTAATACAGGTGGTGCGCCCGACGACCTTGAGCCACCGGATACGGATAATGTCCCGGAGCGTATGCACGCGCTCGTTTTATACCCGCGAGAGGTGGGCTTACGGCACGTGCATCGACGCAATATGGTCTCGTCAATAATACCAATGCCAATATTGACAATCATCATGGCGGGCTGTCGAAATCGTCGTGGATTCGGGTCGCAAGTGTCACGTCACTATCGGTCCGGGGGATCGACTTTGGGTGTGTGTGTGTGTGTGTGTGTGTGCGTGTGTAGGTGGGTGGATGGGTGGGTGGGTGGGTAGGTAGGCCCCCGACCGGTGTTCAAATCCCCGACTTAAAACATCGGACCGAAACGTCCGTCCGACTTCGACAAATCCGCTGCAACGGCGATCGCATACGACAAACAATAAATTATACTGTCATCGTCATCATCGTATGAAGTCGTCAATTGCGAATTAATATTCCACACGTAGAATTTTAATTTTCAATAATTTCGAAACATTGAAATCTTCGGCGAATTCGAAATATTCGAATCGCATCATAATAAAGGTATTTTTTTCGCGTAAACGTGTATATTATAATCGGTTAAAGGTACCGCCACAACGCATTTCAATAAATAGAGTATATTATATTTTTTTGTTGGGAAAAATTAATCAAATTTTTATTTTATGTGAAATCGTCTACAGTATAATATGTTATTTAATAATGTTTTATACCTAAATGATATCGAATAAAATCGAAATTATGTTCCACAAATAATCACTATTGTGGAGTATTATAGTACGAAGATCACGATGTCGCACAAGCCGTCACACAAATAAAAAAATCATACTGATTTAAATCCCATGTAAGTGCTTAATAACTGTAGAACATTTGCATATAGTTATGACAGTACTACTGCAGTAAACGCATATACTGTGCATCATAAAAAAATAATAATAATTATATGCAATACATGACAGCAACTTATATCAAAGTGAAATTAATTGTTATCATACATCTATGTTTTATGTTAATTCTTAATCGGCTCCTAGACCAATCAAGTAGTTAACCACTCCAATTTGTCATGGCAAATGTTTAACCTCTGGATTAAGACAATGGCTATATTTGAACACTATTTGTTTGTTTTTCCGTGGAGCATATCCAAGTTGGTTGACCCCTGTTATTTTTATTAAAATGTTTTGTTTATTTAAGCTTTATTTTTTAAAAGAATAAACATTATTGCAAGCTAATTTAAATACAAGGATAGAAAACAAAAAGGTTATTCCAATTGCTATGAGTTTTTAGAACAATTTATTTATCGTCATTTGATAATTTGTGTTGTACACTTATGATTTCGGTTGTCAGGAAAAAATAATTCTAACTTAATATTCAAACGTAAACAAAAGTTTTTTTTTAAATTAAATTAAATTCTAATTAAATTTTTATCATTTTAAAACACATATGAGTAGTAGGTTGACATTGGAAATCGTCTAAATATTTTAAAACCGGAAATTAATAAAACCCTTACGTAAGTATAGTGAGTATATCTAATTGTTTTCTGAAGTCCTGAAGACGAAAAGATCACAAAAAGTTACAATAGTACACGTAATATTGAAAAATTAGATTTTACTAGGTTGTTAAAATAATATATAACTTTATTTCCGTCCTCCCTACTGCCCTATCGATTTATTGAGGTGGCTACCACCTAATTATAAATAAATATTACTAACCTAAATTTACGGTGGAGGACAATTTACTTAAATTAAATTTGTTTTCATTAAAAAATATATTATGCTATGTACTTACAAATAATGTGCATAATATTCCATCGACATAATAATCATAATAATCATAATAGTCATTGACAATTTTAAATATTTCGAAATACTTATATAAGATATTGGTGCAAATAATATTTTTTTTTACATATTTGCCAATAACAGGCACTAACAGGTATATATTGTATTAGATTAGCACTTGGCGCTTAAGTCATATAACAATTATTTCTAGCTATTGACCTATTAATGCATTAATGGCCTATACTATGATACATCAATATTTAATAAATTAAAAACATTGTATTGAGTATATTTTGTTCTAATATTTTTATAAAATGGAGATAATATACAATTATAGACACAATAATTAAGAGACAAATCCATAATTCTTCTTGTATAGGTTAGTATGTTCTTACTTTTCTGTGTAAACTACATTTAACTAGAAATTACTACTCTGGTAAGAATATGATCGAATAGAGATTTCGGTTTTGAGTACCTATTGTTATCAATAGTTCTTTTTTATCATGACGAGTGATTAAAATGCTTCATAATACATTTATCTGACGATGTTTACGTTAGGTCCAATGTGTTATTGTTGATACTATTGTTATAGTATAACTACCGTAATCAGTGCTTTGAAATGTTCGTTTCGTACGAGATAATCATTAAAATAATAACTATAAATGATTTAAATGCAATGAAGAATCCAACTTAAATGTTTGTTCTTTTCGTTCACTTTAACCGTGCACAACATAAAATATCATCCTGGTGTGAGTATGCCTAAATAAATACACGTACTTCGATCCGATTTTGGTATTTGCTGTTAAATAATAAATTGATCTTTCAAATTATTGACGAACGATAAACGCAAAACATTAGTCACGCATTTGTTCTCCACCTGCGCAATCAGTACTTTAAATAAACATGTCCGATTGAAACTAACACTTGTCAATCCTTTGCGATAACGGTAAAAATTCATAAAACAAAAAACCTGTGGGCTCGGGGATACACAACATATTTTTCCGATCACAAACAACGAATATATACAGGTACTGCAAGCAGAGGGTACCACCATTGCATGATATACAAACAAAATTAAATATTTAAAAACAACGTTTTATTTGTACTTATAATGGAAACTAAAACTACGCAATCGTTGACTTTTGTTGGCGGCCTTATAATTTTCAAGGGCAAATTTTCCTACACAAAAAACCGATTTTAACGTGTAAATAATTCTATAATAATTCATAGTGTTACATTATTCTTTGACATGCATCTGACCATAATCGACATTCGAGCAATACACGATCAGCGTGTTGATGTTCGAGTTAAAATAATATGATATTACATAAGTAAAACTAAAATGCTGCACGGGCATTTGACTTGAGGAACTTTAAATATTTTCTAAAACGAGAACGTCTTCTTTATAAACGCTTAACGATGTTCGATTTTTTCAACATGTATTCACTAGTCATCTCGTATTTTTAAACTATGAATACCAAATAATAATACGATCGTCGAGTTTCTAACACTGTAAGGCAAAAGTTAATTTCCAGCAGAAATAATCGTCTTCTTTCAAAATCCGTAAACGACTTGGTTTATGTAACATTATCGTGTGTCTTGTCCCTATAGGTATTAAAAATTATAAACTCGATGTATTTTTCGTTATGAAACGCGTTCGTCATAATATCTCAATCACAATTACATTTGTTGAGATCTTTGCTAATTTATAACAGTAGGTACCCGCTTTGGAACTTGAATACTTTTGTGGATTAAGAATACAATAGTTTGGTGCTCTCTCCTAGGATTTTGAGAGTACATTTTTTTTTAATTTTCCTTAAGCTGTTGTCAGTCTTCCGTTGAAAAACTTATGAAAAACAATGAAAATGTATTTGAAAAATGTAACGACGCACGAAAACAAAAATAATAATATTTTTTCAAATGTATTATGAAAATCGATATAAAAATCGATGGTACCAAAAAATAACGCAATAAATTGATTTTAAGTATTCTCCATTTACAGTATACCTACACCAATATTGCCCTCGAAAACAATTGGAGGCTATTTGAGTGAAAAAAGTTCAATTAGGAAGGCAGTTCGTGTGCACTGTTTTGGACATAGTCGATGGATTCGGACAAACTCAGCTTAACAGCAATCATTATTGATGTTAAGATGTTTACAGAAAATTGTTTTTATTTTAGGATGGTTCCATTGATTTTAACGCCACAATGCTGGAACATCTGTGCAAAATGTCGTTCATACCATTTTCGAATTTTCAATGATGAGTAACTATATCACCGCAACTACATCAACCTAGAAATTTGTGATCTAATAATATCATATACTTAGTGATACACTCTTTATCTCGTGTATGGACTGGTGGGAGCTGGGAGGTGCGCAGTGTCGGATGTGCTTAAAAACTATAATTTAATAGTATGTCGTGGGTTGGGTTTGGTTAATAAAGTCGCCTCTAGACCTCACCCAACCTTTTTTAATGGTTTCAAACATGCCATTAACAGATAGTGTACACACACATAATAATCTACACTGGTATTATATGACCAGTGAAAATTATATCATTACTAAATAAATATTTTTGTTTCGTTTTAACGATATTGGACAAGTGTAAAAATGTAGTAATAATAAACGAAAATCTTATCAAACGCGTAGAGACTGGTATTAAATGCGAGCACATATGAGCATATATTTAATTAACCTTTTATGTGCATCAAAACAAAGTTTATCGGAGAAATAATAATACGCGATAATCCGACGTTAAATCGCATTAAAAATTCTTTGATCCCTTGGTCTGATCGCTCGCGTAAAACCATAAAAGTTTTGAGTACACATTTCCGGAAAATGTTTACGAATAGTTCGCACAGCGATTTATCGTTTACGTCATCAAACAATATCGAAACTCGTCATGAAAATAGTGAGTGACGCATAGTCCTGTGCATCATATTTTATAGTGTTCATTACACGTATAGAATCGTTGACGTCAACTATCGGTGATCTACAACTCCATGGATACGCACTAATTAGCTCCTTTACTCCATTCATAAATACGTCTTAAAAGCGAATGCAATAATTACTAGTGCAGGGGTCAACTGGTGGCCTGCGGACAAAGAAAAAAAGTATAACTGCTAATACTATACTATTTTTATTAGTCTTTACTTTTTACTACCGATTTTAGCAATTTCTATGGCTCTCCAACGAGTTCCCGACTTCTAATTTGGTCATTAAAAAATATTAATTGGTGGCCCCTGTAACTATACTGAGTTGTAACTTACACATCACACAAACTATAGTCCATATCGGAAATGGAGTATTCGTAAGTGTGACCTTCGCGTCCTAAAAGCTTAAGCCAAAAAAAAGATGATAATTTCTTGGTTTATACAACTTATTATGATCTATAAGTATATGGTACAATTACATAATTTTAAT